TAGCCACCACTTAGATGGAAATTGCAATGATTCTCACTAGTGACATTCTACTCTATTCAAATTTTTGTTTTCATCATCCCACGTAATTTCACAACTTTAAATACCACCTTAGGGCATCCTCAGCCATGTTACCCGGCCCGTTTCATCCCATTAAAAAGAGTAAACAATTGGATTTTTATGAGATTTGGGCTCGAAACGTCTTAGCCCACAGAGCCAAAAGAAACGGATCATTTGGACGCGTGTCAGTGTGTGATTGGGCAGAATTTTTTTTTTTGCCAAGAAGCAGCGAACCGTTTTCATTTCGCGAAACAAATTTTTTCCTCTGCTTTCTTCTTCTCCTTTGGCGATTCACGCCGATTCACATCTCCCTCAAATCTTCTCTCGACAAAGAAGTTTCCGAAGAGTTGAGATGATGAATCCTTCGAGGATGACGAAGGTTGACAAAGTGGTGGCTCTTGAGTCGGATGTGTCCGTCGGTTCCGGTGGTGAATCCTTGGAGGTTGACGAAGCGGTGGCTCTCGAGTCTCAGACCATAGGCCATACGGTTGAAGACGACTGCGAAGGGGATTTCTCATCCTCTTTTGTTTCAATTTTGTGTTTTGATTAATCGGATTCTAGGGTTTTCGATTTGGAAATTAGGGTTTTCGATTTGGAAAATTAGGATTTTCGATTTGGAAAATTAGGATTTTCGATTGGAGAATTAGGGTTTCGTCGCCTCTCTTTACTGTATCTGGAATCTATGGGTTTGTTTCCGAAATTTCAGTCAATTGATGTTGGAATTGTTAGGGTTCTTAGTTAATCGGTTGTATTTTCCTGAAATCAAATTAGATTGTGATTGAATCTGTTTCATGTTTTATTATTGGACTTACAAAAACATAAAAGTTCTTAATGAGTCTCAATGACTAAACTAGTATTAAAAGTAATAATAAATTAATGCTAATGAAACTTTGTGGATAACATAGGTGTGGATGCTCTTAATACGTGTCTCTTTTCTGTCGTTTGAAGATAATATTTGTTTATGTTCACTATTATACTTTTCTTTTACCGTATTATGCTTTGATTCTAAACTGATCCCAAATTTCATAACGTATGTCTAGAAAGCATCCAATATTTTTGGGCATCTTTTGTTATTTACTACATTTGTGGGATCTTTTGGTCCAAAAACACAGGGAAACTAATCCACGACTAGAATTCTTCCAATTCTTCCAATCCACGATTAGAATTTAACCTATAATCGTACATTTATTGTCTAAATCATTACGTAATCTATACGGGTGGGAAAAAAATTAAGAATTCCAATTATTCACTAAAGTCTAAAAACAAAAGACATTTCCAAACTGTTATACGCGGTTTTACTATTTAAGCATAATAACAATTAAATATAGGGATAACGCCTACTCGCCTATAGTTAGCAAACACAATTAGTTATTGACCTATTAGGTTACACATTGGGGTTGCACAATAATGCACATATCATATGCGCGTTCTTAGTTTCAAAAAAAAAAATATATATATATATTATGCGCATTCTCTTATGATTTAATTGACTTTACCTCATTATAAGTCATAACCATGTTCTGTTAATGTTTAAGGCCAATTGCAAAAATGACATTTTTGGTGTGACCATTTGCAAGAATGCCACTTACGGGTGTCCACTTACAAAAATGCCACT